GTAATCTGAACAACTACTTTGAAGATAACAATATGCAATATAACAACCATTGTTAATTTCTTATCATCTTGTTTTGAAATTCTGTATCACTTTTGTTGTTTTTTCTCTTTAAAAATAAAAAAGAAATGCAAAAAAAGTTATATGTTATGCCACAAAACAAATCTTAATAAATTGAAGAAGATTGGAAACATATCAAATATCTTTTCAATCACAGTTACATGAAACTGGAAATTAATAACAGGAGGAATTTCAGAAATTATCTGGAAATTAAACAGCATGCTCCTGAACAACCAATGGGCCAAAGAAGAAATTAAGTTAGATAATCCAGAAGAAATGAGTAAATTACTAGACACATACAGCCTATCATGACTAGATAAATCATGAAGCTAGAGAAAATCTGAACAGACCACTAAACAGTAAAGAGATCAAATCAGTAATGAAAAACTCTCATCAAAGAAAAGCCCAGGCTTCATTGCTGAATTCCACTGAACATTTACAGAAAAATAGTGCCAGCTCTCCTCAAACTCTTCCAAAATATTGAAGAGAAAAAAAATACTTCCAAACTAATTTTACAAAGACAGCCTTACCTTTATTTCAAAATCAGACAAAGATACTATAAGAAAAAAAAAAAATTACCAGCTAATAACACTGATGGACATCAATGCACAAATGCTTAAAAATACACTAGCAAACTTAATTCAACAGCACCCTGAAAGGATCATTCACCACGGTCAAGTGGGCTTAATCTCAGGAATGCAAGAATGGTTCAATACACCCAACCTGTGAATGCAACATGCCTTAGTAGCAGACTGAAAGTAAAATACCACTAGGATCATCTCAACAGTGTTAAGAAGCATTTGACAAAGTTCAACATCCTTTCATAAAAAAACTCTTACAAATTACATATATAAAGGATGTACATCAACACAATAAAAGGCACATATGACAACCCCATCTAACAGCGTACTAGTGAAAAATTAGAAGCTTTTCCCGTGAGATCAGAAACAAGATCAGAAATGAGGATGTCCATGGTCATCGTGTCTACTCATTGTAAGCCCCATTCAGACCAATTAGGCAAGAAAAAGAAATAAAAGGCATCTAAATTAGAGAAGGTAAATTGTCCTTGTTTAGAGATGACTTGATCTTATATATAGAAAACCCTAAAGACTCTACACACACACACATACACACACACATACACACACACACACCTTAGAACTTTTAGTAAAGTTGCAGGGGGCAACACCAAGGTACAAAAGTTTAGTATTATTCCTATATGCTAACAACAAACTATCCAAAAAGAAATTTTTGAAAATCCCATTTGCAATAGTTTCAAAACAAAAATACAATAGGAATAAATTTAGCCAAGGTGAAAAGACTTGTACACTGAATACAATAAGACACTGATGAAAGAAAAGAAGACACAAATGAATGGAAGGATATTATGTATTCATGGATTGACAGAATTAATATTGTTGCATGTTGTAGTTTGGATAAGTTTCCCTCAAAACCTAATATATTTTCAAAAGTTTTTATTACTATGTGTTTGGAATATGTAATAAATGCAGTCCTCTTGACAAACCGCTGCATTCCATTTTACATATTTACTTCCCCTTCCCCTCCCCACCTTCCTGTCTCTCACCATTCTCAGAGTCCTTTCTCATCTCACAGAGTCTACCTCAAAAGCCTGTATGTTAACAGCTTAGTCTCCAGCTCACAACATTATTGGGGTGTGTCCTTGAAGGGGACATTGGGACTTTATGTCCTTTTTATCTCTCCCCTTCCTTCCTGGCTGCCATGAAGTGAGAAGGTTCTTCCGCCACATGCTCCTGCCATGGTATACTGCCTCACCACAGGCCCAAAGCCAATAGAGTGAAGCAACTGTTGACCAAGACTGTCTTGGTTACTTTTCTCTCATTGCTGAGACAAAATACCCAA